ATATATATATTTAATTTTGCTTTCTAGACATTTCTGTTGGCATTGGTTATTAAAAAGCATATTGTTTGATCACTAGTGTTTTATTCTAAATGAAAGTAGAATGTGGTACTAAAAGTCACTGTCATGGGTAATGTGAGTCATAACATCTACACCTCCAGAAATCGGTTGACATGCATGCTTGCCATACCGCCAGGGACATTTTTGACAGGTAACGTTTGAGTTAACTTTACTCAGTGACTGACTTAGTTCCTCTCAGTTCTTGCTAAAAACATCGAGCTATTGCAGCGTTTTGAAAAGGGGCCTGTCCGTTGCCTGCTGCGGGGGTCCGTATGAGCTCCATTCACTGGAAGCTTGACCTCACTGACATGATGCAATCTGTTCACAGGATAATCACTTTCAGAGCAAGTCTGCTCATTGATTGAATATCCTTTGCTATTATTCCCCAAGGCTAAAGTCACAACAACTTATTATGCCAACGATCATGTCTTCTATTCATAGCTGCATTGTTGTAAAGTGATTTTGAATCCGTTAAATGCTGAAGCTTAGGTCTTGGCATGGCATCACTTTAAAAGAAAGTTAACAGCTGTGGGAATTCTCTTCTAATCTTATCAAGATGTTTTTATGACGCTGTGGTCACATGCATTGTGTTAATGCCTGATACTAGTAATTACAAAAGAAACCCTGATTGAAATGGAAGATTTGGCACAAATAAAATTTGGTAGATAGCATTAGTTGTGTATGTTTATGTATGATTGGTTGCCACATTACTGCCACAATAATGCTCAGGCCCTAATAAATAGGTGGTACCTCATTGATGTCAAATAGTTTATTAATTGAGTTAAAGTCAGACTGTTTAATTGTGCAGTTGAGAGGGTGGTGGGTTGGTCAGTTCTCCACGTTCAACAGATGTTGTTTGCTGACAGCAAGACCCAAGATAAACAACACACAAAGACCACAACAAGATAAAAGAAACAACTGCTCAACCTGCTGTTTAACTGCCAGTTGAACCGTCTCCCAGTAATTGGTATATTTGCACTGTGTTTTTGGTGCACTTTTGAAAGTTAAACATTTCAGTCAGAAGTTTTTCCAGTGTTGTACCATAGGAGAAGAGGTGTAATTTTTTCCAAAAATAACTTTTTATTTGTGAAGTTCTTTAGAAGACGTTTATTATTGGTGCTTTAAAGAACCCATAAACCAACGCAATGATCTGAAGAACCTAAAAATTCATCAAATTTCATCAACATGAAATCAAAATCGAACCTTTTACTTTCTTAATGCACATTTTTGGTCTTATTATAAAAGATTCATAAATGCACATTTTTGTCTTTATGATCTTTTGATATTTAATAATTTGCTCCACTTCTGAAAGCTTTTCTTTTCCGCTGACATCATCAAGCACTCTAATTCAATTTTAAAAATGCAATATTTTAAAATGCACAACTCAAAAACGTCACATTATGGAAGTAAATAGTTGGCAAACACCTATTTCATGTTGACTTTAAAGTGAATGGTTGTATTAAATGAGTGTGTGAGAGTGTTCATTTCTTGTATATGATTATATAGATTCAAGATTCTTCTATTAAGATTGTTTTGATCTGCAGAAACATAATTAGAAATTAGATGAGAAAGATGACCTAGATGTAGAAATCCGTCCTTGGGATGATCTATGAATTCTGGGGGTTTTATTTCATGTCACGTCAAGTTTCTGCCCCATTGAGAGCCTCTTATTGAAGTGAATGGTGAATAAATACCCCCTCACTGGTGTGTTTTAATGGACTACTTGAGTTAGTACTCCTTTCATTTGCCTTTACATCACTGAAGCAAAACACTTTTGAAATGCATTGGAAGTTTTCTGGAGGGCCTGTAGAGAACGGAAGTGTTCACTGATGAGGACTGGCTGAATGGATGTTTCCCCGGATGGGTGTTGCAGACATTGTGGGATGTCCTGTCTTAGACGTGGAACTAAACACGCATGGGAAACTCTGGGTCTGTCATGTTGCACCACAGGCAAATTATGTCATGCATACATGCTGAGAACTAACACTGAAAACAATGGAGAATAAGTCAGAAGATAACTGAAAACCAGAATACGTTGGTTGCATGTTTAGTCAGTGACACAGGAAAGATTGTGTGTAACTCAACATCAGAAATTCTTGACCTGGGTTTATCGAGCTTAATTTACTTTTCCCGCTCTAATTTACATGTTGTTCACCTTGATAGGGCCCTATGAAATCTGTTTTATTTTTTTACAAATTCCGTTTTATTTTTTGACAAATATGTTTTTTCCCATTTTAATTTTTCTGGATTCCATTTTTTCCGTTTGTATTTTTCTGGACTCTTTTTTTTAATGGTTAAATTAAATTGTATTAATCAAAAATCATGTCTAATTAATTAAAATCATGAAACCTATACAATTTAACATCAATATATTAAAAGTTTAACAAAAAATAAAATTTTTAGTGCCCTATGAAATAATTTTTGTTTTATTGTTACCAAATTCTGTGTTTAAGCATGTCTAATTATTTGAATGCATACAATCAACTTAATTTATTACATTTTGTTTTTACAATAGCCCTATAAAATGATTTGGTTTTTAAAATTTTTTTTATTCTGTTGTGTATTTTTAATTTTTCTGGTTATCAAATGATATTTTTCTGTTATTAATTTTTCTGGTTATCATACATAACACAGTAATTAAATTTATCTTTTAATCAAATGAAAACAAACTTTATTTTTGGCAAACAAAGAGGGTTTATATTATGTGATTATTCCTTAAAAAAATACGTTTTAATAATTTATTATTAGTAGTTAGTAGTATTACATACATTCTACTGCCCAACACGGCTTTTTAAACTGCTTTTATTTTGGCTGATAACCGTAGGGAAACTTTTTTTTTTTTTTTTAATGCTTCTCTTTGTTGACAACAGACTTATAAACTATTCTTATTAAAAAATTGGGACAATTTTTTGCGCATTTTCAAATGCATGTTATAAGCGACGCAAACTCAGTCACTTGCAGAAATGGAGTTCGTGTGGAGCAAAATTTACTGTGAATGAGACACTGAAAACACTAATGAGAGGCTCACGAGAAAAGATAGTTTGTATAATTATAACGCATTCTTTGTGATTTGATAATCGCGCTAAACCACATCTCATTCTGAGGCATTGTTAAAATTAAATAAAATTAATATATAAAAAAAAAA